AAAAAGCTGAAATGTCGCTAGTAGACGAGTGAAGACGAAAGAAATGACTGAGTTTAGAGAAGATGGAGAAAGGGACAAAAGACGAACGGGATTCAAGAAGACAGAATGTAGCGATTGATATTACACTTTAATTTTTGACGATAGTTATCGGGGGAGCAAATAAATGAAAGGGAGTTCCACAGGCGGGAAGTGCGAGGAAAGAAGGTTTTCGAGTAGAAGTGGCGGTTGCATTATTTCAACAGTAAACGGGTGGGACCAAGATGCACGTTTAAATTCTGGTAGTCGGGGCACTAGAGAAAAAAAAAAGGTCGTCAGTGCAGTTGTCATGAAAATATGTGTAGAAAAGACAGAGGGAAGCCACGCCATGTCAGTGAGAATGTGACTGAAGTCGAGATACTAAGTCAAGAACGACTACAGTAGAGATCCTTCTCTGGATTTTGTCAAGAACCAGGAGATGAATATTAAGAACAGCAGACAAGATATGGCAGCAGGATCTTTACGTTGTTGAATAGCTTAGTTATTTCTATGTTCATTTTTCTATTGTCATGTATCAGTATCTGTTATGTGCCATGGGTGATACACACTTAGACGATCATCTATCTTTCGATACATGACTCACGAGGCAGATTTTTCCCCGCAGTAGGTTGACATTTCTTTCTGGGGTAGACCAGTTGCCAAGGCTATAGAATTCGGTCTGTCCTGCTATTTAATTTACCCATATCTGGAGGGAGAAGAAGAGGATACATACCTTTCGTAAGGGTATTAGAACATGAGTGAATGGATTCGACTGGTATTCGAACTCTTCGATTCCTCAATCTGAACTGCTATCCATTACTCCTCCTGTACTATACTGTACTGATCAATACACCAAGTTATTTGAAATGTTTAGTACTCATTACTTCCCGTTTCTGAAATTTTATCATGTGCTCATATTATGCGTCATCACTGGTTTCATTCCAATAGCTCCTCGATCATAATTCCTGTTTTTGAAAATGATTATTTTCAGTTCTTCCTGGAACACTTGGTAAAGGATGTTGATCTTTTGTACAAGATCATTACTCATCATTTAACACTGGCGTTTAAAACGTTTGGGTAAACTTGGTAAATTAATTACTTTTGTCTATTTTACCACAAATTCTAGAGACAACAGCAGGTATGCTTTTTTCGATACATTTTTTGATCATTGAAGACCAGAAAACAAGTTACTGTTTTTCGTTAATTCCATATGGTGGATATTAAACCTTCTTAATAATGGTGAGGCAAACAATACTGGACCAGAAGAGAAAAGCTATGTCTGTGAGAAAATGACTGAAGTCGAGATGCTACGTCAAGATCGATTACATTAGAGATCCTTCTTTGGATTTTGGTCAGAAGCTCGAGATGAATAGCAAGAGCATCAAAGCAGATATGACAGCAGGATCTTGCGTTGTTGAATAGCTCAGCTATTTCTATATTCATTTTTCTATTTTCCTGTAGTAAATGTAAATCACTGATCCATACACCGAATATCTATTCGAAATGTTTAGTACTCATTACTTTTACTTTCTGAATTTTTATCATAGATTCATTGCATGTGTCATCACTGGTTTCATTCTACCATAGTTTCGTCTTTGGAAAGTTTTATTTCAGTTCTCCTTCTTGGAACACTTGATAAATGATGCTGATCTTTTGTTAGCGATCAATAATAATCATTTAATCCTGGTGACAAAAGGTTTTTTCAAACTTGGTAAATTAATTACTTTTGGGGTTTTTTTTACCCCAAATTCTAGACTCAACAGTAGTATGCTTTTTTTCGATATATTTTTGAACATTGAAGACCAGAAAACAAGTAACTGCATTTTGTTAATACTATATGGTGGATAGTAAACCTTCTTAAGCATGGTGATGACAAAGTAAAAGCCACCAGAGAAAATTTCACCTTTCAGGTCTTAAACTGTGTTAGTCTGATGCTCCTGCTATTCATCTCAAGATTCTTTACAAAATTCAAAGAAGTATCTGTAATATAATCGATCCTTACCTGACATCTCGACTTCAGTCACTTTCACACCGGCGTGACGTGACTTCCCGTTGTCTACTTGTAGCACAACCTTTTCAACTTCCCTATCTCTTTTCGTGTAATTTCTTATAACTGATCGACGCACTGAAGTATTTATAATGTTTAGTATTTAGTAATTCCTCATCCTGAATTTTTATGATGAATTCATATTACGCGACTGCATGTCTTCATTCCAATTCCATGTCATGAATCATATTCTCTTCCCTTCAACCTATATCCCACAGGCGGCATGTGGCAAGCCTCTCGCTGCAATATTTCTATTTTTTAAGCGAATCACCCCAAGCAAGAGTTTACAGAGTTGGAGCGAGAGCAAAGAGGAGTGATAGAGGAAAGGATGAAGAGAAGGATGGGGGATAGATCAAGGCATCTGGAGACGTCGATTGACATTACATTTGAATAGTTGGAGATTATAGCTATCAAGGAAACAAGAAATGGAAAGGGATTTCAACAGGCGAGAAGTGCGAGACATGAAGCTATTGGAGTAGAAGAGACGGCTACATTTAACAGTTTCAACAGTGAAAGGGTGTGAGCGGGATGCCAGCCTAGTTGAACGCTTAAATTCATGAAGTCTGCGAACCAGCGAAAACAGCTCATTAGAGGAGTTACCGTGAAAGTATTTGTAAAAAAGACAGAGGGAGGCCACGACACGTCTGTGAGAGAGCGACTGCAGATCAGGGCCAATTACATTGCATATCCGTCTCTGGATTTTATCAAGAATCTTGAGACAAACAGAAGGGGCTCCAGACCATATATGGCAGCAATACTCCATGCAAGGACGAATGGTTGATTTGTAGATGTGAAGGATCGACTCCGGCGAGAAAAATTTCCTGGCGCGGCATAGGGAGCCAACTTTCCTTGCGGTGGACGAAGCTATTGACTCATGTATTTGTTCCATCTCAGGTCAGCGGACAATGTGAGACCGAGCAGTCGCAAAGGTGATCTCGTGGAGTTGAGCGTCAGACATTCTAATGGGAGGCAGGGATGGTTCTTTTTGGTGAGTAATAGAGAGCAGTTTTGTTTTTGAGGCATTAAAGTTAACCAGCCAATTCCTGCCCCAGTCCACAACTGATTGGAGGTCTTTTTCGAGACAAACAGCTAGGTTAGTTTTGTCGGCGACACTAGGTATGTTTTTGAGGCAGGAGTAAATAGTTGTGCCGTCCGCATAGATCCCAACTTGGGAACCTATGACATCAGGAAGATCGTTAATTAATATTTCCACGGAAAGTGCTCGGACGAACTACATTCTATAGTCCCACCAAACGTTCACATTATCTCATCCCATTATTTCTCTCAAAGAGCTTCTTCCCATGAGCCCCGATGGTGAATGAGGGATATTCAGGCCATGATTGCTCCCCGCCCCAATGATCATTGAGGCGTTGTGGTTTCTGTCACTGAATCTAAACAGCGACATTAAGAAAATCAGATGAAAGCCTCGTACCCCATCGCTTCAGAAGACCGCATTGCTTGGCACTGCATATAGTCTACTCTTGTGGGGCTCTCCCCTTTTTACATGAGATGGACGAGTTCAAAGTATACTTATACTGGCAGAGAGAATACCTACGTTGAGATACGATTGAGATACGTTGAGACAGGTTGAGAGATACGGAGACAGACACAGGGTGTTCTCAGAGAGATATCCAAGAAACCAGAGAGAGAGAGAGAGAGAGTGAGAGAGAGAGAGAGAGAGATGATTACGGCTTTACTTACAGAGACTTGTACATATACTTTCTACTAACCCGCATTTCTGGACTACTAATCTTCACTTCAAGTCTGTATTCTTACGTTAATACACTTATTTTTCTATCTCAATTTCTGGCGTTGTTTATTTATTTCTGCAGGATTCCATTCCCGGAATCCACAGCATCTACGAAAGGTGATATCAGTTTGACGTCGCAAGACTTGATGGACAAAATCAAACAAGTTACATTCCATCATCACTTATCGGAACCCGAACCTTCAAAGCCACCATGAATGGATGTCCCCCTCGGGTAGGCTCTATGCCTTGAGAGACTATTCGTTCTTGAACTCACTCCTGAACTCAAGTGGAACTCGTACATACCATTCATCGCTAAAGATACAGGGAAAATGGTTGGTGCCCTATACCAGTTCAGTAAGTACCTGACTCCACATGCTATCCTCTACCTTTTCAAGAGACAGACCAGGCCAAAATTAGAGTACAGTTGTCATATTTGGGTTGGAGCTGCCCAATCCTTACTTTCCAGTCTCCATAGAACCCCAAAACGACTACGGGTCCTTGTAGGTGACAAATTATTTTCCACCCTACAACCTCTATCTCATAGACGGGATGTAGCTAGTCTCTCACTTCTCCATCGTTACTTCCATGGAAAGTGCAGGAACAAACTACATTCCTTGGTTCCGCAAGTTCTGACCTTCACGGCTAGGACATGCCATGCCATTCACATTGTAGCAAACCACCCTCATTTCATCCGTATTCCATTGGTGAGAAGTAGAGATTTTCCAAGCGTAGCTTAGATGTGGCACAAGGCCGAAAGTATTGGGCAACCAGTGAGGATCGAACTCACTTTTCAGTAGTAACTGATCTAGCAAAACAAGCTCGCTAAGCATTGGTGAGAAATAACTCCGACTCTAGCAGCTTCTTCCCGTGAACCGATGCTCTGTGGAACTGACTCCCAAGTGAATGTTTCCCCGATCACTACAATTCTAACCAGGTTCGTGCTAAACGTTATATTCGACTCCTGCACAAATTACCTCGTAACGTAATCCTCTAGTTCGTGTGACCCCCAGGCCTTGTAAAGGATGAAACCTACTGTAAAATTTTATTTTGATTCCTGACAATTGACAATATATTATTGATCCGGTCCAATGTATGACATAAACTGAGTTAGAACATTGTTTAAAATTCGTTTGTGTTTGGAATGTGAATTAACTGTAAAATCATTATTTTTTTCCTCCTAATAAAATAATGTCTAAAGTTAAGCGGAGCTGGGAAGGATTACGTTTAAACGAAGGGAAGAAGGGCGTCGTAATAAGAGAAGTCGACATTTTTTTCATTTATTTTTTTAACCAATTAACCCCAAGCAAGGCAATAATGTCGCTAATATGCGAAAGAGAATGAGAAGAGTCTAGAAGGAACATAATCCAAAGAGGAAACAATGGATAAACCTGTTTAAAAAGACTGGGCGATAAGCGAACATATCTACACCTACTAATCCTTTGTTAAACCTGTAGACTCCACCGTGGAGTATAAGTCCAGAGTAGGACGACGGTAGGTGTTGCTGATGCTGCGCTTGTAGCAAAATCGTTTTTTTTTTTTTTTTTTTTACGGTGTGGTGTTTTTAGTTTTACGCCCAAGCACCTTTCAATTTAGAATTATCTGTCTCCTAGACTAGCTGCCATATTAAACAAAAGAGCTCAGTTTCCCTATATATATATATATATATATATATATATATATATATATATATATATATATATATATATATATATATATATATATCCTCCTAATTTCTATCACTTGTACATTCTTGCTTGAACCGGCCTCTAATGCTCTGGATGGATCGGCTTGGAGATGGGTGGACAGTCCTATGGGTAAAAGAGAAACTTGTATGAGTTCCACCACGGAATATATGATGGAGCAGCGTTATATCAAATCTGATTCGCTACGTCTTCGTCACGGAAACCCGTTGGAACAGTTGGTATAGCGTTTGCCTGATAACGTAACTGTCCGGGTTTGAATTCTCAGTAGTGGATGCGCACTGCCGATGAGTCCCAAATATAGGACGAAACTGCCGTCCCGTGCTTTCTGCATTCTGTTGAGGTTTCTTCTAGATTCGCTAAATTACTTAATTAATATATATATATATATATATATATATATATATATATATATATATATATATATATATATATAAGATTCGTTGAGATATATTGACACTAAATAGTATATTATTTCTGTGGTGTTGCTGATCTTAGTCTGTTGTGTCGAGCAAATTTTTAAAATGGCTAAATTTCATAATCTTTTGGGCTAAGGATTAGGACTCGACGTGAGGAGATAGTCAAAACACCAGGATTATTTTGACAAGGATAGACATAATCTCTTTCAGATGTAAAGAATCATTGTTTGTAGAAAGTCTAAGGATATAGATAGTCAATCTACCTGTCAATCTGTTTATCTCTTTCTCTCTCTCTCTCTCTCTCTCTCTATTTCTATCTCTCTCTCTCTCTCTCTATCTATCTATCTTACCATCTAAGTGTTCATATCTATCTATCTATCTATCTCCATTCAATTTTCTCCTTACAAATCTATTATTATGAGTCTGTTCATATTTATTTCAGTCTTTTAATATATCTTTCTCTCTATTTCTCTCACTTTCTCTCTGTTTCTCGGTCAATCTCTTTTTCTCACTCTCTCTCTCTCTCTCTGTCTCTTTCACTCTGTCTCTCTCTGAATTCTCTTTCACTCTCTTTTCTCTCTCTTTCACTCTCTCTTTCTCTTTCTCTTTCACTCGCTCTCTGTTTTCTCTTTCACTTTCTTTTCTCTTTCTTTTTCTTTCTCTCTGTCTTTCTTTCTCTCTCTCTTTCACTCTTTCTTTCTCTCTCTGTGTCCCACTTTCTCTGCTTAAGTTCACATCACTTTGAATCACGGTTTCCCGTACGATCACCAAAGTTAAGCAACGTTTGATTAGTACCTGGATGGGTAACCGCTTGGGAATACCAGCTGCTGTAGGTTTGTATATAGAGATGGTGTATTGGATAATGGTTCAGAATTATTAATCGGATAGCTGAGTTGGAATTGAGGTTGGGTTCTTTTATTCACGCACAAATACACTTGGAAAAGGAATGAATTCACATCTTCTCCCCACCAGCTTAATTATTAATAATTGTATCGCTAAACGTATCCCTATCATCTCACCGAAATGTAGTTTAACAATCTAAAAATATTTTCTGGCTTTAAATAACCGGCAAATGGGTGATAAACGTAGTAAACGAATCAATCAATCAATTAAAATATCCCTCTCTTACTCTTTTCTTCTTCATCTATTTCTCCTTTTATATATATATATATATATATATATATATATATATATATATATATATATATATATAAATTCATGAATCATTCATACAAAAAAACAAATATAGAGGTTAATCATTTAAATGGCGAGAATACATCTTCGCAAACAATATCAGTAAGATAAACCAACCCTTATCTTATTGATATTGTTTGAAGATGTATTCTCGTCATTTAAATCATTAACCTCTATATTGTTATTTTTTTGGATGAATGATTCATTCATTTATATTTATAATTTATAATTGAATTTTTTATATATATATATATTTATATATATATATATATATATATATATATATATATATAACTATTCTACTCAGTATTGAGTACTCTTTTAAGAAAAGTAATTGTTGGTTATTGGAATTTATTCTGTATACACCAATCATATACTTGGGTATATATATATATATATATATATATATATATATATATATATATATATATATATATAGGTAAGATGGGAACGAATAGAGTCCAATTACAACGTTCGTAACATTTAATTTGAAAGAGGGCTCAATACAAAGTACAGCAATATTCTTTATTTTAGAGTGTTACATCGAAAAACATGTCAAAATCTCTACACAATTGCAGGCCATTTGTTGTAAAAATCAATGAAACACCCTTTGAGCTATTCAGCTCGAAAGAAAACAGGTTAAAATCATTTTGTGTCAGCCTCATTATGTCTACCCAACTGATCAATGAAGAGAAAAAAATATGATTCAGGCCTTCAGTAATGCTACATTCCTTCGCTGACTTCTATCTTGAAAGTCCATTGAAAAACCATCAAGAGAACGGTGAATAAGTTTAAAAAAGAGGCAACAGTAGAGAGGAAAAATGGATCAGGAGGTCACAACAGGAAGAGAGATTATCATTAAACAGATAAATTAGAAAAGATCCAATTCAATCCATATGACATGTTGTAAGTGAGAGAATAGTTTCACTTATAATAGTCTAAAGGGCAGTGAAAAAAGACTTGAAAATGAAATCGTACGTGAATTGTGTGAGCAACTTTGTTACTCTAGGGCAGAAAATTAGAAAGTTATAGAGGGCGAAGATCATCTTGAATATGTTGGAAGATGATCCTGGAATAATATGCATACATATATATTTGAACTTTATTTCAATACTTCATGAGGTTTCGATCTTTACCTAGGATTAATTAATGATCACGATTATTCTGTTCAACTTGAAAACTAATTATACAATCTTATTGCGCAAAGCTTAATCTAACAGTTGGACAACTTTGCTGATACACGATTTGGACAATTTTGCTGTTACACCCGTAATATATATATATATATATATATATATATATATATATATATATATATATATATATATATATATATATGTATGTATGTATGTATTAAGAAATATACATAATATCTCCGAGTTTCATGCCGAAATAATTTTCAAGTTCTGAAATTTTACGTTTATTTTCATTTATATTTTAGGTTGACATCGTTTCTTTAAAAATATCTCTGGTTCACGCGTGATATGTTATTGTTGATGTGGATTATTATTGGAGTTAAAATATTTAGATTAATTGTAGTTTGATTTTGAATTTAAATTTAAGCTCAGATTAACATTTAAGATTGAAAATGAGGTTGGAAATAAGAAATACAAATTCTGAATTAGAGGGACACTGGTTTCGAAAACGTAAGTAAACAGAAAACGCGTTGGAAAATCAAGGGCGGTAACTCTATTTTTCCTTAAAAACCAAGAAAGTGATTGATAATAATATTACTAAACTAAGTAAAACTTATGATATCAATAACAAAGTATGCCATACTGCAACAAAATGAAATAATATAAAATTATAAAATAATATAAAACAAAATAAAGTAGTATTAGTAGTAGTAATAAAAATAATAATAATAATAATAATAATAATAATAATAATAATCATAATAATAATAATAAATACAAAAAATTGTTCTCGTGAGTACAGTTCACACCTTACGAATTATTATGTCTATGTATTTTTTTATTATTTTTTTTCTGGTGGAAAATATCATGATGCCATTTCTAATATTAGGTCCCTGGGCGGGACCCGGAAAGAAATGAGTACACATCAGAAATCAAAAGAAATAAAATAATAATAATAATAATAATAATAATACATATCAATGGAAAGAAAATGATTTAGAATAAAATAAAATAAAATAAGAAAAGCAAGAAAAATAAGATAGAATGACACAAGAGCCTTATATTGGAACGTATAAATATGTAAATAAACAGGTTAATTTTTTAAAATGTGTTGTAGTTGGTTTTGAATTTGATGTTCGGCGCAGATTAACATTTAAGATTAAAAATAAGGTTCGAAATAAGAAATCTAAATTCTAATTCAGAGAGCCGCTGATTTAACAACTATAAAAGGCGTTATAAAATAAGGGGGGGGTAACTCTATTTTTATCCGGGAATCAATAGTGTAATTAATAATAATATTAATAAAAAACTAAAAGTAGTGGTATCAGTAATAATAAAATATACCGTGATAAAGTAAGCTAAGGTAAAATAAAATGAAAGCCATTTATAGGAACTTGTAAATATGCAAATAAGTAAATGAATAAATGAATTAATAAGGCAAATAAATGAATAATAGAATAAAAATAATGAATGTAAATAGATGAGTAAATAAACGCATATCTAATAGTCTGACTAAAGCTGAAAGAAAGAGACAAAAAACAAAGCAAAAAAAATAATAGTTATATACGGAAAATATTAGTGATAGGATAATGGAAAAAATGAAATGACAAATATGTGAAAAGCGTTCTCATCCAAATTAACAATAGTTGTACGATAAAGGTAGCTAGAAAGAAAAGTAAAAAAAGTAAAATATACAAAAATATTAAGATCAATTCTAGTAAATATGGATGCCTGGGTCAAAGTGTTTGATTAGGAATTTGGATTTACGTATGCAGGTGCTAATTAACTCACTTCTTTTGTTTTGAGGTTATGATTTTATTATATATTTTTCAGGATTATTAATTTTTAACTAATTTAACTTATGTCTCTAATTAATACACGTAATAATCCTTTTCAAAATCGTTTACGCGGTCTTGTAGGGCGGGGTTGTTATCCACTTTAGAGCCTCTTTTCCAGAGTTGCAACGTTGCGACTTTATATCTAATCTATCGGTTTTTCAATGGCAAATATTCAAATGAATATTCTTTAGATCCATCTCTTGAGACAGCTAGGACAACCCTGCTACATCTCGGAGTTAAATCATTCACATATTTTCCCCGTATTCCATTTGTAAGGAGAAAGTTCCACTCAGATTTTTTCTCGAGATAAAAAAAGAACAAGTGTAACAAGGAATAAGAGAAGAGTAAACTTTGTGGAACCAACTCCGGTGTGAGTGTTTCCCTGAATGCTACAACGTCAGTTTCGTCATGGTTTAGTCGCTATCTATCCTCTTTAAATTCTTTAACTTTTCACGTCACTCTATGTTCATAACACAACTCTCATTTAGTAACCTTCTACTATGAATGGCTTCTGAGTTTTGTATTGGGTGAATTTTGGTAAATCCATCAAAAAAAACAAAAAAACAAAAAAAACTATCTATCATCTCTGTCTTTTAATTTCTTCTTTTGCTTGGTCTTTCCTTTCTTTTCCTTTTCTTTTCCTTTTCTTTTCCTTCCTTCGCTGGTGTTCTGCTTTTCTCTTACGTTGTCCTTTCTTTCTTCTGGCTCTAACCTATATGTCTCCGCTGATCTTTATCTACTTTCACTTTCTTTTTCAGGATACTGATTCCTTTTCCCCACCTCTCTCTCTCTCGCTTTCTCTCTCTCCCCCCCTCTCTCTCTATTGGCAACTTGTGTGAAAGAAAATGCAAGTGATAGCTTTTTTTAATCCCACTTCAGGCATTCTTCAAAACTAAAATCATTTTTCTTCTTTTTATAGTTGTATTTCATTTTCAAATCTTGACTCTTCTGTTTTTTTAATTTTCTTTTCGCTTTGCATGATTATGTCTTTCCCTGCTTCGACTTTTCATTTTCTCGTCTTCGCATAGACTCGCATCGTATTTTTCTTCATGTCTTTAAACAAGATCATCGTTCACACTATTTATATTGTTAAGACAGTCATCCTTCGGTCGCTGTACGCTCTGGCCTTCTTCAGTGATGTTCTCTCTTACTTACTAAGTTATATGACATTTAACTCAATTCTTCACTAGGCTATGTGATACTATCACTCTTCCTTATCAAGCTATACGACATTTCGAGTCTTCCTTACCAAGTTACGGGATATTTAACACTCTTCTTCTATAAGCTACGTGATACTTACACTCTTCCTCACCAAGCTATATAACATTTTTATGCTCTTTCTCATCAAGCTATGTGACATTTACACTCTTTTTTATCAAGTTACGTAACTGTTGAATCTTGAATAAAGTATGGAATAATAATAATACAACACAAAATGTACTTAAACAAAATGTATTGACACAAGAACGTGTACACAATATTTACAGATAGTTTGGTATATTCTTGGGAAGACCGTTCCTGTAGAGTGGGTTGACATTAGTCGCAGTCGGGCAGAGTCTCTGGATTGGATCTCTTCTTCCTTCCCCGTCTTCCTGGTACCAACCATATTTATATGGTCGGTACTCCACTATGTAAATTAGGTGGATCGTACTACAACACCCCCTTCCCAAGCCTTGGAATCCCTTTTGGATTTCAAATTGGCTTCAAACTTGTTACATCTTCCAAAACCAGGTGTGAAGGTTTCCGGAAACTTTTTCTTTAATTCCTCTTTAATGTCCTGTCTTGTTTGCGTATTACTTTCTACTTTTCTGCAGAATGAGTTTAACGGTTTATCCCACAATTCGAATGTTTCAATAAAATCTGTACCCATCAAGTTTTCTCCATTTTTCAGAATGAAAACTTTTATTTTTAACTATCCTGTTCAATTTCATGGGAAGTACAACCTCGCCTTCGAATTTAATTTCCTTTCCAGTCACTGTTCGAGCGCGTTTCGTTGACTTCATTATTGTAGGCCTTTTTTAAAATTTTCCATGTTTTATAGTTAATTATTGTTAAATCTGAACCCGAATCGAGTTGAAATTTGATATTCTTTTTAAATATTTCAGTCGTCACATACTTCCTCAAATCTCTATCTGATTTGATATTTGAATTTGTTTGTCTAATTCGGCTATTGACTTTTTTCGTTTTACAACACGACCCTTTGTGACCATTCTTGTGGCACACGAAACAATTTTATTTCTATATGGGCAATTTACCTCCCAGTGTCTTTCGTTGCACCGTCTACAATTAAATGGTGGAAACTTTTTTTTCTCCTCATTATTTTCATTTAATTTTTCTTGTCTATTTTTAAAATACGCCGAATTTTTACTCCAATTTTTTTCTGATGGGTAATTTGACTGTTTTTTTTTTTTACTTTTTTAATATAAGCAATGCCAGCTTCTTCAATTTTTTGAGACTCTTTCTTTAAACTTACGGCCCGCTGACACTCCTCTGCTAACTTTTGCAGGGTAAGGTTTTGTTCAGATTCGAGTTTAGACAAACTCTACGTCTTATTTCGGCACTCTTACTGGATACCAGTCCTTGAGCAAAAATTAAACACTTGAATTCTTCAACCGTAATCTCTGCCAATCTGAAATTGTCACAATGTCTATTCACTATAGATGCATATGTTAAGTAATCCTGATCATCGGATTTAGCGACATTCATGCATAACCATCGCTTATGCCAAAGCGACATATTTGCTCCAAACAACTCCTTTAGCAATTTCACTGTTTCCGAGAATTCCAATTCATTTGTTCTTCTCGGTAGAATAAAATCTACAAATTTGCTATGTTCCGCTGTACCTAGCTTTCTTAGTAATAGACTGACTTTTCTTGAATTCGACCAGTTTTAACAGTTTGTGTAGAAAATATCTTCATATCGTTTAAAGTACGCTTCAAACGTTTTTCCTTCGTCTGGCACATAGTTAAAAGTTTCCAGCGAATTAAATATGATGTTATTAGAATATGAAGAGTTTCCTTCATTTGCCTGATTGTTGTTTAATTTATCCAGTGTTAACTTTTGAATTTCTAAAACCTTGATCTGCATTTCTTCCTGTTTTTCCAGTCTTTCCTCTTGTTCCCTTTGACGTTGCTGACTCAACTCCTCTTGCTTTTCTTGATATTTCTGCTGTGCTATTTGCTGTTCCCTTATTAATAAGGCAAACTGTTGACTTTGGATAATTCATTCATCTTTAGCTGATAGTGTTCATGCAACAAAGAATATACTTTTAAATTGTGTATCCACGAATATAATATAAGCTGACAAAAAAAAATCGAAACAACTTACGACTTTTTAATTTTATGTCTTGCTTTATAAAATATTGTTGAGCAACCAAACAAATAAAATAAACAATTTTTTTTTACAAGTTCGTTACCTTTCAAAGTCGACACGTTGTATTTGTGCTCCTTTTAATTCCATGCATGTTTTTGTAGTCGGCCAGCTTTTTTTTTTTTTTTTTTTTTTTTTAATTCGCCGTTATTCGTTTACGCCACCTTTCAGATTTTTCTGAGTGAACGTTCCTTTATGCTTAGTCGTCCTTTAACGAGTTTTAACTATCCAGAACTTCAGAATACTTTTCCGTTCTATTAGATGTTGGACTTTTAATTAATAATTTTTTCCTTCAGCCTGGGTTCTTCAAAGACTTGTCCCAATTGTTGAAAGCTATCAATTATGAATTCTCTTTTTTTTTTCGTAAAGTTCTTTATACCTCGTCGCCATTGTTGAAACTTGAATAAAGCATGGAATAATAATAATACAACACAAAATGTACTTAAACAAAATGTATTGATACAAGAACGTGTACACAATATTTACAGATAGTTTGGTATATTCTTGGGAAGACCGTTCCTGTAGAATGGGTTGACTTCAGTCGCCAGTCGGGCAGAGTCTCTGGATTGGATCTCTTCTTCCTTCCCCGTCTTCCCGGTACCAACCATATTTATATGGTCGGTACTCCACTATGTAAGTTAGGTGGATCGTACCACAACAGTAACATTTAAGACTCTTCCTCGCAAAGCTACATGATATAATAACCAATAATATATTGTGTGTGTTTAGTAATATTACGTATATGAAATTAAATAAAAAGTCAGCATTAGCTTATCTCATCTGTTCTCACGGAACCTTAGGGTTCCAGTGAACCCCGGTTGAGAAACACTGCTCTAGATGGACCAAATCAGATGCATGCGACAACTGCACTGGCACTGCTTAAAGGAAACATCCTTACTCATTCACCTCTTTTCATCACAAAGCTATATAACACTTACACTCTTTCTTACCAAGTTACGTGACATTTAAGACTCTTATTCACTAAGCTATGTTATACGTATACACTTCTTCACCAAGTTATGTGACATTTACACTCTTCCTTACCAAGTTACGTGACATTTAAGACTCTTTCTCACTAAGCTACGTAATACTTACACTCTTCCTCACCAAGCTATGTGACATTTACACTCTTCCTTACCAAGCTATGAGACATTTACACCCCCCTCAATTTCTCATTTGTCTGCCTATTATTTCAACTTCATCCCACAGAGGACGGTTATCTCCCTTTTATATGGAGGGAAGTTGAAATAATAGACAGAGAACATCACTGGAAAATGCGAAAACTTAAGGAATCTGCGTATTTGCTAGGCCACAAAAATCTCCTAAGCCGGCCAAATACTATCTGGGAGCCAGTAATACAAAGAGCTAGAGAAAAACAACAATAATAAAAATTGTATATGAGTTTTGGTAAAAATGCTTTCTGAGACATTAGTATTATAAGTGCCAAAAATTCATACACTGATGTACCCAAGGACACATGACCTAGGGGATAAAAGCGTTGGTTGAAGTAATCCAGTGACCCAAAGAGTTGTGAGTTCAATACTTGGCCACAGCAGAGGTGAACAAAAACTTAGAGAGTTTGAGTTATTAAAGAGAAATAACTGAAATTGAGTTATCCAGAAAAGGCATGCCATGTGGAACTAGAACAATGGAACTTAGACTAAATAAAGCGTTCGATTCGAAATTCCAACGTATATCACCTGAATAAGACCGGGGCGTACAGCGACCGAAATATCGTGAATATGACAATGAAGATTAGGACAACAGTCCGAATAATGTAAATAGTGTAAACACGACGTTGTCACATATAAAACGACGCACTTTATAGGAAATGAATGAAACGCTTGTAAAATATTAAATAACTAACTTATTCAGTTGAAATAGGCGCCATGTTGATGAATAACTGTTCTTTAACGTCCCTCTAAATTCTTGATCCTATCTTGAAAAAAATATTATACTTTGATGTGATAAACAGTTCAAATGCTTCGATTACCTCTTCCTTATTGAAGAATGTTTTATTGCGCATGAAAAGCTCAAAATACTTAAATAAGTGATAATTAGGAGAGATGTCATGTATATGGAGGATGAGGCAAAATTTCGTAATTGAGGCTAAGAATGAATAATGAATAACCCCCTTTGAAAGACCATCATGCAGTAACCATTAATTTATTAGGATGCTGTGGAATTTTGTGTATTGTTTTGGTGATTCACTTGCATCTAACCACTGGCCAACTATCTTACTATTGCCAAAGAGTATCCATTTGTTATCGCATATAATGATTAAATGCAAAAATGGTTCTTTGTCCAATCCGGAAATTATACAGTAAGATTACTCGACATTGTTTTATTGTAATCATTTTCATTGGGCTTATAAATAACAATATATTGAAAGAGAAATTATCTGGAAAGAAAAAGAATCAGGAATATGTCAAGATTTTTTTTATATATTAAGGAGATTTCTTTGTTAGACCACAGAATCAAGAACCAACCAAAACATGCGTCATTTCATGTGTGACACTCTAATACTTACAATAACTTATTATTATAGACAAAGATTATCACTTATTTTGGTCTTCGTTTCTACCATTTGATTCGTCCAAACAGAATTTTTATTTTCGTTGAATTTTTTTTTTATAAAATAGAAAAGCAAAAAACAATAGAATAACAGCAGATGAATAAATAAAAGTAACATTGAGCAGTAAAAAATAACGAATAGTTGAATAATAAAATAGAGACAAAAGATAAGTAAAATAGACAACAAACTTACTTTGCCGGTCCTGGTAAAATAGACATAAAATCTATTTTGCCGGTCCCGGTAAAATAGACTCAAAAGCTATTTTGCCGCTCCCGGTAAAATAGACACAAAAACTATTTTGCCGAACTCGCTAAGATGGTATTTACTTGACTCCCACTAAGTCAAGATGTGACACAAGGTCGTTTAATGTGGGAGACCCGAGCGTTTCCACTCAAAGGCCACTGGTCAAAATTGGTCATAGCTTGTCCAAGCTGGTCAGAGCCGAGTCAAAGCTGGTCATGACTTGTGCTAACAGGTCCAGGCCGGAGCCAGTCCAAGCTAGTCAAAGCCTTGATCGAATCTCAGCCATAGGCCAAGAAACGATCCAATATTTGTCAAAAACCCCAGCCGAAAAATCGGCCGAACTCGCTAAGATAGACTCAAAAGTTATTTTGCCGGTCCCGGTAAAATAGACTCAAAACCTATTTTGCTGCTCCCGGTAAGATAGACACAAAAGCTATTTTGCCGGTCCCGGTAAAATAGACTCAAAAAGCAATTTTGCCGGTCCCGGTAAAATAGACTCAAAAGCTATTTTGCCGGTCCCGGTAAAATAGATACAAAAGCTATTTTGCCGGTTCCGGTAAAATAGACGCAAAATCTATTTGGCGTTCCCTGTAAAATAGACACCAATGTTATTTTGCCGGTCCCGGTAAAATAAACACAAAGGATATTTTACCAATGAATATAAATAGTCTTTTAGAACTAAGAATATATTATATGAGATCGTCAGCATAGTGGTTGTGTGCGCTGTGTAGGCGGGACTTAAACAATATGGATTCTGTGGTCTGTGACTGTTGCCTTCAGTGGGTGCATCTGAAGTGTATTGGGCAAGAGAACCATACCCAACGTCAAGTCTTGGAGTTGAAGAGACGGTTATGCCTGAAGTGCTTCAAATATTCAGAGACTTCTATAATTCTTTTAATAATTGATGATGAATAAGTGATTTTAACAATTGCTACAGGAAAAGATTTTAAATTGTCTCAACAATTGATGGCGGAAATAAATAAACTTCAATGTTAAATCTGCGTGTTGCCATTTTGAACATTACCTGCCTTCATAATAATAAAAACATTTACCGGCAAAATACCCTGGGGGTCTATTTACCGAGACCGGTAAAATAAGCTTAAAAGCATGTTTGTCTATTTTACCGGGAATTGAACAAAGTATACACTTTAAAGAGAGAATATTTAGTCACATTTCCAATGTCTACATTTTTGTCTTTCTTTTCATCTGAAATAGGATCTGCCTTATGTTAATTCTGAAATACAAAAAAGGAAGTAATCATGCGATACAAATAGAACTTCATCTTCTTTATTTTGCAAACTTGTTTCTCTATTTCCCTTCTTCCGTTTGTTGTTTTTCTACGTCTTCTTCTTTAATCTCTCCCTCTTCAGCCTGTTCGTTCTTTATTCCTCATTGTTTCTTTGTTCATTTACGCCATGTTTGTACGTTCTTTCTCGGCTCATCTTATTTTCTCTCTCACTCTCTCTCTCTCTCTTTCTCTCTCTCTCTATCTCTCTCTCTCTTTATATCTATCTATCTATCTATCTAGCTAGCTCTTCATATCTATTTATCTCTAGCTAGCTCTTCATATCTATCTATCTAGCTAGCTAGCTATCTTTCTATTTCTTCATATCTATCTATCTATCCTAGCTTTTCTTTTTTTCTTTCTTTCTTTCTTTCATATTTCTTTCTGTCTGTCTGTCTGTCTGTCTGTCTATCCCCAATATCTATCTATCTATCTATCTATCTATCTATCTATCTATCTATCAGGACTGAGCAGTGAGTTCGATCCTCTTTGGGTGCTCCATACATACAGCATTGTTCCACAAATAATCTACGCTTAGTAAATTACTATCATCTTTGTCTTTTAATTTCTCTTTTTTTTCGCTTGGTCTATCCTTTCTTCTATCGTCTTCTTCATCTTCTTTTCCTTCTTTCACTCGAGTTTTGTTTTTCTCTTGCGTTGTCCTTTCTTTCTTCTGGTTCTAACCTATTTTAACATGTTTTTCTCTTTATCTTTCACTTTCTTCTTTTTTTCAGATACTGGTTCCTTTGCTCGCTCTCTCTCTCTCTCTCTCTCTCTCGCTCTTTCACTCTCTCTCTATTTCTCATTCTTCAGTCTACATTTCTTCTCGTCCTATCTTTCTTCTATCCTTTCATTTCGTTCTATTCTTTCGTTTGTCCTATCTTCTCGTATTGACTTACATTTATCCTTTTGTTTTATTCTTGTGTTTATCCTTACTTGTTGTTCTATCATTTCGTCTATCCTTTCCTCTTGTTCTATTCTTTCGTCTATCATTTCTTTTCGTTCTATTCTTTCGTTTATCCTTTCTTCTCGTATTAACTTACGTTTATCCTTTCTTGTCGTTCTCTTCTTTCGTTTATCCTTTCTTTTCGTTCTATTCTTTCGTTTATCCTTTCTTCTCGTATTAACTTACGTTTATCCTTTCTTTTCGTTCTCTTCTTTCGTTTATCCTTTCTTTTCGTTCTATCCTTTCGTCTATCCTTTATTCTCTTCCTTTCTTTCCTCTATACTTTCTTCTCGTTCAATCTGGATTGTTTTTCCCTCCCTTCTCTTATTTTTCCCCCTGCATAGTTTTTCTTCTTCTCCCCATTGCATTCTCCTTTCGGAATTCTTTGCTTCCTCTTTTTTCTTTCTTTCGCTTACTCTTTTTTCTTTCTTTCGCTTACTCTATTCATACTCCTCATTTTTTTTTGTTCTCCTTTTCCTTCCTTAACTTGCTTTTTTTTTTATCTCTCTTCGAAGTACTTGTCTTTCCTTTGCTGACTCTTTCTGTCACTCCTTTCGTTTGCTTTTCTCTTACTCCTTGCCTCTTCTGTTCTTTTTTTTATCTCTCTTTAGCAATCTTCTTTTTGCCTTCTGATTTCTTCGCTCTGCCTTTCTCTCTCTCTCACTCTCTCTCTCTGCTTCTTCTTCCTTGGCTTTTTCTTTTTTTCCCACCACTCCACATTTCATTTGCTGTTTCTTTTAATATTTCCTTGCAGTTTTCTATTTCTATTTCTTTCGCTTTTTCTTTCTCTTTCGATTGCCATTTCTTCACTTGCATTCTTTCTTCCCAGGGTTTTTCATTCCTTTTTTTTTTTCATCTCGTTCCTTTCTTTACTCATATTTTTTCGACCAACATTTCTCTCGCTGAATCATTCTCTCTCTATTTTTTTTTTTGCTTCCTCTCTTTTTTATTTACTTCTTCTTGATATATCTTCTCTCTCTCTCTCTCTCTCTCTCTCATCTTCCTTCTCTTTTTCTCTCTCTATTTCTATTTTTATTTCTCTTATTCTGTTGGGTCTACTTAAACAGAGTGGTCCACTCTTTAGAAATAGCGACAGTTTTTCGAGAAAATATTTTTTTTTAGATTATCATTCTGTAGACCCTCTTTTGGACGGGACATTTGTCAGAATCTAAAAAGATTGATTTATTATCGATTTAGGAGGGGTCCTCATTATAATATGATTTGGTGGAGTAGTTTCAAAAACATATATTGCAGTTAGACGTCAAAATAAAGCAAGTGCAGAATTTTAACTATCTTGGAAGTGTTTAAACAGACGATGGAAAATGTAACATCAAAATTCGAAGGCACATTTCCATGGCGAAAGGTGCTTTCCAAAAGCTAAGCAAACTATGGAGAAATAGGAAATATACGTTACAAGCAAAATACAAGCGTCCTAGACGTTTATGTAATATCAAGCCTGATAGATGATAGTGAAAACTAGACCATTTCCTCAGAGATGAAGAGGAAACTTGAAACAAGAAAGATGTAATTCACCAAAATATGCTGAAAATATCATAGATGAAAAATGTGGCCAACAACTAAGTTTTAAGAAAAATGGAAACAAAAGGACATTTATTTGCATTATTCGGATTGTTATCCTCATCTTCATTGCTATATTCACAACGTTTCGGCCGTTTTACGCCCCGGCATTCTTCATGTGATTGGATCTTTGAGATGAGGCATTATGATTACTTGTATTATTTACATTATTTGGACAGTTATCCTCATCTTCATTGCTATATTCACAACGTTTCGACCATTTTATGCTCCGGCCTTCTTCACGTGATCGGATCTTTGAGATGAGGTATTATGATTAATTGTATTATTTACATTATTTGAACTGTTATCCTCATTTTCATTACCATATTAGACCGCCGTTGTACGCTTCGGCCTTCTTCAGATGATTTGACATGAGGTATTATGATTAGTTGCATTATTTACATTATTTGGACTGTTATCCTCGTCTTCATTGGCATATTCGCAATATTTTGGCCGTTGTACGGTGGGCCAAGTCGCTCGAGTCTGAAAGCCTATGACATCTAAGAGAAAATTGTGACGATTAACGATTTAAACACTCGTACTGATAATGGCGGTAATAAATAAGAGAGATAATACTGATTTACTAAGCGTAGCACGGATGTGGCACAAGGCCGAAATTATGGAGCAACAAGGGATAATCGATCTCTGTCAAAATTGACCTAGAGTGACAAGCTGGTTAACCAATGCACTACGTCAAAGTGCCCGGATAGATGAGCATAATAGTGATTTACTAATAGTCAATTTGTTGGAGCACAAGGCCGAAAGTATGCGGTACTCAGTGGGGATCGAACTCGCTACTCGGTCGTAAGTGCTCAGAGAGGAACATAATAGACAATTATTAATTTTTTTTTTTTTTAGTAAAGGCACCGATGTATTTTCACTAATTCTAGTCTAACTTCTACTTCTCTACAGACCTATTATCGACATCCCTTGAACGACTGTGGTTTTCTTTATTCATTTTTTCTTCTTCTTGCTTATCTTTTTTGTTAGGAGAAAGAAAGGTATTCGATCGTTGTAAAGAGTTGAGATTCGACGCTGAGATTATCGGTGGAGTTACGAAGAATTGAAGGATTGTCTTTTACCGATGTTATCCGATCCTAATCGTCTTTGTTACTCACGCAGAACCGACTTTCTGGATTTAATCCGAAAACAAGTTGTGACGGCGTTCGTGTAGATTAAACAAGGAAAAGAGAGACGAAGAAAAAAAATGGTATATCTTTGCCGAACAAGGTGACATAGCATTGTTCAAAACACTGCTCACTTCAGACGAGTATAACTAATTAAAAAAAAAAAAACTTACCTGCTCCGTGGATAGCATTCGGGGTTCAATTCCTAGTAATGTTCTTATCTAGAAAAGTTTGATTAGATAATTACTTATTTAAAAACGGCGTCAATAATCGGTGATCGATTCATGTAAATGTCAGTATTGGAATTGCGCAATTTAAGTTAAGCTAACTTTCCAACTTTGACGCTGGCGCTGTACAGTCTTCTATTCTCATTTTGCTTAGTAAATATGGTACTGCATATATACCATATGCCAGCCGACAATCTCTAAAATGAAGTTGAAAGGTCGTAATTTTAAAATGATACATCTTAGTATCTGTCTATATTTCCGAGTTTAGATATTATGTACACTATTTACATTATTCGGACTATTGTCCTCATCTTTGTCGCCATATTTATTACAATGTTTCGGCCATTGTACGCTCCGGAATTCTTCAGATGGTTGGAATGTCGAAATGAACACCTTATTTCGCTCAAGGACACATGACACAGTGGATAAAGGCGTTAGTTAAATCCAGTAACAGACCCAAATAGTGTGAGTTCAATACCCGGTTAAAGTAGTGGAGAACCTGGAGAGGAGAATTAATAGGAGATAACTGATAATTGACATCCATTAAACATGGCACTTGGAAATAAAACAGTCTACCCCAGTGAGCGAAATAAAGGGTTCAGTTCGACATTCCAACCACCTAAAGAAGGCCGGAGCGTATAACGGCCGAAACGTTGTAATAAATATGCCGACAATAGTTCGAATAATGTAAATAGTAATACATTTTAATAATAAAATCACCGCGTAGTTTTTTTTTTGTTTTTTTTTTAGCCTGTGATGATTTTATTTGCGTTCGATCGAGTAAAAATGCAGGTATGTCGCTCAAATCACTATTTAAATCACAGTTTAAGGTCACGTCACATCACATTGAAACATCTGTTCCCGTGTGATCACCGAAGTTAAGCCACGGCGAGTCTAGGCAGTACATAAATGGGTGAATGCTTGGGAAATACTGGAAGCTTGGATGTGCGGGTGGTGTAATTGATAATCACTCAGAATTTTTAATCGGAGAGCTGAGTTCCAATCCCTGTTGGGTTTGATATATTCACTCATGAGCAAATAATCTTGGGAAAGGTATAACTCTACCTTTTCTTCCCCAGCTATGGGTTAATTATTAAGAATTGTATCACTAAACAATTATTATCATCTAAAGAATTCTTACCATCTAAAACTATTTTCTGGCTTTAAATAAACTGCAAAGGGTTGATAAACCGTAGTAAACGAAACAATAAAAATAAACCCCTTAAATTAAGAGCCTGATTCTCTTTGTTTTATACAGAAGCTGTTCGAAAGGTCGGTTGTAAAAAGAAAGAAGATCACGTGACTTATCATGCTTATGGACCAATGAAAATACGCGTAGCATCTTTCAGGTCTCGAAACCTATAAATAACCGGCGATCACTCTTTGTCTTTCAAAGTTCATGACGTGACTTCAGCTTATATGCCATGGAAAACAAACTAGCTTAAATTTAGAAACCGTTAATTTATTTCCTAATTCTTCTTTTTCTACATAACATGTCCATTCAGAAAGTGCATGGTCGAGGCTCTCCACAACATCCTACTCTTTATTGTTCTTGTTAAGGTTTATCTTTTCAGCATCCCTAACACTCGTTATTCTGCCATCCATTTACACAAGCTTATTAGGTAGGTCTCGATGTTTCCTTCTGACGTTCTTGCATTCAATATATCCTTTGAGTGTCAAATTCTCTAAGCATTCTTTTCTCATTATGTGACCCAGAAACTTCAGCTGTTTCTTTCTAAGTGTTTTTTTTTTTTTTTTTTTCATTTTCTTTAAAAATTCCTCGTAACTTTCATGTTCCGTCTATGGTATTCTCATAATCGTTCTGTAAGACCGCAAACCATGTCACTTCAGGACGTAGGTGATTACTGACTAGGCACTGATTGCTTTTCATTTTTTAACCATCAAAATCAGACAACACAAAAATAAAAATACAAGAAACTGTTTCTTAATTTTTCCATATCTCATTCTCTGATGAAGCTTTAATAAAAACGTTTCAACATGTTATATTGATAAACATTTACTGTTTGTTCTTTATCCTATCCTATCATATGTCATTCTCTGATGAAGCTTTAATAAAAGTGAAACATGTTAGATTGATAAACATTTCCTATTTGTTCTTTATCCTATCCTATCATATCTCATTCTCTGATGAAGCTTTAATAAAAGTGAAACATGTTAGATTGATAAACATTTCCTATTTGTTCTTTATCCTATCCTATCATATCTCATTCTCTGATGAAGCTTTAATAAAAGTGAAACATGTTAGATTGATAAAGGTTTCCTATTTGTTCTTTATCCTATCCTATCATATCTCATCCTCTGATGAAGCTTTAATAAAAGTGAAACATGTTAGATTGACAAACATTTCCTATATGTTCTTTATCCTATCCTATCATATCTCATTCTCTGATGAAGCTATAATAAAAGTGAAACATGTTAGATTGATAAACATTTCCTATTTGTTCTTTATCCTATCCTATCATATCTCATTCTCTGATGAAGCTTTAATAAAAGTGAAACATGTTAGATTGATAAAGGTTTCCTATTTGTTCTTTATCCTATCCTATCATATCTCATTCTCTGATGAAGCTTTAATAAAAGTGAAACATGTTAGATTGATAAACATTTCCTATTTGTTCTTTATCCTATCCTATCATATCTCATTCTCTGATGAAGCTATAATAAAAGTGAAACATGTTAGATTGATAAACATTTCCTATTTGTTCTTTATCCTATCCTATCATATCTCATTCTCTGATGAAGCTTTAATAAAAGTGAAACGTTAGATTGATAAACATTTCCTATTTGTTCTTTATCCTATCCTATCATATCTCATTCTCTGATGAAGCTTTAGTAAAAGTGAAACATGTAAGATTGATAAACATTTCCTATTTGTTCTTTATCCTATCCTATCATATCTCATTCTCTGATGAAGCTTTAATCAAAGTGAAACATGTTAGATTGATAAACATTTCCTATTTGTTCTTTATCCTATCCTATCATATCTCATTCTCAAGCTTTTTAATAAAAGAAACATGTTAGATTGATAAACATTTCCTATTTGTTCTTTATCCTATCCTATCAAATTCTCTGATGAAACATGTTAGATTGATAAACATTTCCTATTTGTTCTTTATCCTATCCTATCATATTCATTCTCAGATGAAGCTTTAATAAAAGTGAAACATGTTAGATTGATCCTATTTGTTCCCTATCCTATCATATCTCATTCTCTGATGAAGCTTTAATAAAAGTGAAACATGTTAGATTGATAAACATTTCCTATTTGTTCTTTATCCTATCCTATCATATCTCATTCTCTGATGAAGCTTTAATAAAAAGTGAAACATGTTAGATTGATAAACATTTCCTATTTGTTCTTTATCCTATCCTATCATATCTCATTCTCTGATGAAGCTTTAAAAAAGTGAAACATGTTAGATTGATAAACATTTCCTATTTGTTCTTTATCCTATCCTATCATATCTCATTCTCTGATGAGGCTTTAATAAAAGTGAAACATGTTAGATTGATAAACATTTCCTATTTGTTCTTTATCCTATCCTATCATATCTCATTCTCTGATGAAGCTTTAATAAAAAAGTGAAACATGTTAGATTGATAAACATTTCCTATTTGTTCTTTATCCTATCCTATCATATCTCATTCTCTGATGAAGCTTTAATAAAAGTGAAACATGTTAGATTGATAAACATTTCCTATTTGTTCTTTATCCTATCCTATCATATCTCATTCTCTGATGAAGCTTTAATAAAAGTGAAACATGTTAGATTGATAAACATTTCCTATTTGTTCTTTTATCCTATCCTATCATATCTCATTCTCTGATGAAGCTTTTAATAAAAGTGAAACATGTTAGATTGATAAACATTTCCCTTTTATTCTTTATCCTATCCTATCATATCTCATCCTCTGATGAAGCTTTAATAAAAAGTGAAACATGTTAGATTGAAAACATTTCCTATTTGTTCTTTATCCTATCCTATCATATCTCATTCTCTGATGAAGCTTTAATAAAAGTGAAACGTTAGATTGATAAACATTTCCTATTTGTTCTTTATCCTTTATCCTATCCTATCATATCTCATTCTCTGATGAAGCTTTTATAAAAGTGAAACATGTTAGATTGATAAACATTTCCTATTTTGTTCTTTATCCTATCCTATCATATCTCATTCTCTGATGAAGCTTTAATAAAAGTGAAACATGTTAGATTGATAAACATTTCCTATTTGTTCTTTATCCTATCCTATCATATCTCATTCTCTGATGAAGCTTTTAATAAAAGTGAAACATGTTAGATTGATAAACATTTCCTATTTGTTCTTTATCCTATCCTATCATATCTCATCCTCTGATGAAGCTTTAATAAAAGTGAAACATGTTAGATTGATAAACATTTCCTATTTGTTCTTTATCCTGATATCATATCTCATTTCCTTTATTTGTTCTGATAAACATTTCCTTTATCCTATCATATCTCATTCTCTGATGAAGCTTTAATAAAAGTGAAACATGTTAGATTGATAAACATTTCCTATTTGTTCTTTATCCTATCCTATCATATCTCATTCTCTGATGAAGCTTTAATAAAAGTGAAACATGTTAGATTGATAAACATTTCCTATTTGTTCTTTATCCCATCCTATCATATCTCATTCTCTGATGAAGCTTTAATAAAAGTGAAACATGTTAGATTGATAAACATTTCCTATTTGTTCTTTATCCTATCCTATCATATCTCATTCTCTGGTGAAGCTTTAATAAAAGTGAAACATGTTAGATTGATAAACATTTCCTATTTGTTCTTTATCCTATCCTATCATATCTCATTCTCTGATGAAGCTTTAATAAAAGTGAAACATGTTAGATTGATAAACATTTCCTATTTGTTCTTTATCCTATCCTATGATTCTCTGATGAAGCTTTAATAAAAGTGAAACATGTTAGATTGATAAACATTTCTATTTGTTCTTTATCCTATCCTATCATATCTCATTCTCTGATGAAGCTTTAATAAAAGTGAAACATGTTAGATTGATAAACATTTACTATTTGTTCTTTATCCCATCCTTTCATCCTCTGATGAAGCTTTTAATAAAAGTGAAACATGTTATTGATAAACATTTCTATTTGTTCTTTATCCTATCCTATCATATCTCATTCTCTGATGAAGCTTTAATAAAAAGTGAAACATGTTAGATTGATAAACATTTCCTATTTGTTCTTTATCCTATCCTATCATATCTCATATCTCATTCTCTGATCCTATCCTAAGCTTTAATAAAAAAGTGAAACATGTTAGATTGATAAACATTTCCTATTTGTTCTTTATCCTATCCTATCATATCTCATTCTCTGATGAAGCTATAATAAAAGTGAAACATGTTAGATTGATAAACATTTCCTATTTGTTCTTTATCCTATCCTATCATATCTCATTCTCTGATGAAGCTTTAATAAAAATGAAACGTTAGATTGATAAACATTTCCTATTTGTTCTTTATCCTATCCTATCATATCTCATTCTCTTGAAGCTTTAGTAAAAGTATCTATTTGTTCTTTATCCTATCCTATCATATCTCATTCTCTGATGAAGCTTTAATAAAAGTGAAACATGTTAGATTGATAAACATTTCCTATTTGTTCTTTATCCTATCCTATCATATCTCATTCTCTGATGATTGAAAAGTAAACATTTAGATTGATAAACATTTCTATTTGTTCTTTATCCTATCCTATCATATCTCATTCTCTGATGAAGCTTTAATAAAAGTGAAACATGTTAGATTGATAAACATTTCCTATTTGTTCTTTATCCTTTATCATATCTCATCCTATCCTTTATCATGTTAGATTGATAAACATTCTCTTTGTTGATCCTATCATAGCTTCTAAAGCTTTAGTAAAAGTGAAA